CGTTTAATCGCAACACTGCCAGATAATAACAATTACCGTGGCCGGCGTAGGTGAACCGCGGGAAACGTTCGCAGCGAAATCACGCGGAATCGCGGTCGTTTCGATTCGGCCGCGCGAGCCGATAAACCGTCTCCTTAGCTTTCGCAATTTCGCGAAACGCCTTTGCGGCCGCCATGATGGGACCCATTAGCGGGCGCGTCGTTCGAAACATCGGCCCGTTGTGTCCCGACCGAGTACAGGACCGCGGCTATTCCTGACACCTTTCCTGGAAACGGTGTCGTCGAGAGAAAAGAAGACGCGAGGTCGGCCGGCGCGGATGAAAGAACCGCGAGAGGCCGATTTCGCCGTTTCGGGGAACGCGGATCCGCTTTATTTACGAGACCGCGCCGATTTATGCGCAGACTTTGCGAAAATCCCGACGTTTGAACGGACCTCGGTTTCCCCGTCCCCCTCCCACACTGTTTCCCGATACTACGGAAGATGATAGGCGTCGTCGTCAAGGTAGTCGATGAACGGCCGCGACCTACAACAGGGTTCACTGCACGACGATTCACCGGGGCTCACCAAACAAATTTGCTTTTCGAAGTTAGATTGGTTTTAATTGCACCATTACTTGATACCGCGGCTCCTCGCAGCGTGCACGCTCACGCCCGTGCCAATGAACTGTCTGTCGGCTGGTGCTATACGCGGCGAGCAGATTCCGGGTAACGAGGAATGCAAAATAAAGTACTCGCCGCGACTTCGACTTACGTAAACGCGGCGACCGAAGTCCGCGCCCCTCCCGATACGGATCTTTGGGGATATTTTAGTGGAATTGGAGGATTCTTTAACCATTTACCCTCTCGGAGCCATTTTAACCGTATAACTAAAATAATTCTTCCGATTTACAGTATCTCCGTCTTATATGACAAAGCGCATTTCGTGCATACGAAATCGAGTCTCGCGACGACTCGTACAACGGTTAAACTTTTAACAATTTTTGAGATCTAAACTTTGATAATATAAAAATGATTTTAGGACGTGAATTAACAACTTTTTGGTGGTGCCTCAGAGTCGCCACTCGAGTGCAAAGGGTTGACTCCCCGGGCCATCGTTCGTGGTTACCATGACTGAAATTTATTTTTCCTCGATCGTTTCGTAACGGATGAAAGGAAATTTGTATTTGTTGCGTAGCTCGTTTGCTTCGTTGCTCGAATAAAAGAAAAACGAAATGCTGCTTCTGCTTAAGAGGAGAATTGGAATTCGTCGGGTTTTTCCGGAAACTGTTTTCTTTTTTCTTTTGTGAATCAACTGCCACGGTATACCTGAGATTCACCCGCCCAATGGACCGTATCATTAGCGTGCATCTTCGGTGCACCTGCCTCCAGTATCGAATTTAAATAATACCATTCTTCTACGAATAGCACGGAATACAAATTTGCTGGTTTTCCCTTCCGGTGAAGTGTATTTTAAAATCATGATCACGCCCACTGGATCGTTTATAGGTAATTTCACAGGATATACAGAATGAGAAAAATTGCGTGTGTTAAAAAACAAATGGTCGATTTACTCCTTTGTAGCGCATCTTCTAAAATTGGGGGCTAAGTATGAAAAAGCACGTTGTCGCTAATAGGAACTGAAATTGTTGGATGTTCGATGATAAAAGGGCTTGTTTTATAATAATAAAAAAATCGTAGATTTGCTCTAAGTAAATCCGAATAAACCCGAATAAATCCGAACACGATTTGCGGCCACCGTGATCTCACTCGGAAGTAACATTCGACACTCGCATCGGCAGTATCTGCGAAAGTGCACAACGAATATCGTTGTTGATGCGCGGCCGAACGATTCGTGTCGATCAACTAAGCTCTATACAATCATGATTTATCGAGTCATGATTTCGAGTTTACTTTTCGATTTTTAAATTTATCCAACGATAAATTGTTATTGATTTTGAAGGATGGCTCTCTCACGCGTTGCGTCGGTGCATACGGAGCGCCAATTTTTTCAATTATTGCTTCAATAACGAGTGCGATAACGGGAGATACGTTCTTTTCAGCGAATGTTTGTTCTGGACGAACGAAATGTACTAAAGAGAAAAGTTGAAACGCGAATTTCAATGTATTGGGTTGGCAACTAAGTAATTGCCGATTTCAGTTATAGATGTCTCTCACTCTCATTTCTATGATATCCGTAAATGTTGTATTATAAAATTATTATTATTATTATTATTATTATTATTATTATTATTATGTTATTTTTTATTATCCGTGAATGTTAGCAACTGGACAAATTGAATGCAGCGGTCAAGGAAAAGCGGCCAGAATTGGTCAATCGTAAAGGTGTCATTTTCCAGCAGGACAATGCTAGGCCGCACACGTCTTTGTCCACTCGGCAAAAATTGATGGATATTGGTTGGGAATTGATGTTACACCCACCACATAGTCCTGATCTCGCGCCATCGGATTACCACTTATTTCGATCCCTGGACAACTCCCTTCGTGGTAAAACTTTTAACGA